CTTTCCCCAGCAAGAACTGAGGCATATTCTTTGCTGCCCTGCCCCCCTGCAGATACCGGTGCTTGTGGCAAAATGGTTTAGACTCTTAGTTACCTTTCTGGTTGGGGCTGTAATTTTCAGCATACCATTCCGATTAACTAATGCCTCATAGCCCATGCAGGCTGCTGAAGTGTGATAAACTGAGACCTTGAATAGCAGCCCGCTGCACCGACAGAAATAACTGCAGAAAGTATAAAGCAGTAGAAAATTTGTTCCAGTAACCCACTTCCTACATTATTTACTGATACCATTTTTTTACCCCTCTAGCATCTGGAGACTTGTATCTGATTTAGCTGATGGCAAAGCAGAAAAAGGGCCAAGGAAAACCATTTTGAAATGATTTCCTGGTGCGTAGGGAAGATTTCTAAGGATCTGAGTGCCACTGTTGTGCTCCTTGGAACCAGTGAGAGAGGTCTTAGGTTCAAGTCAGGGAAGCGTGAATTGAAGGGTGTTAGCAAATAACGCTGGAAGGCTTTGAAAATGTGCTGGACCCAAGGGAGATTAGTGGGAAGCAAAAGGAGTGGTGTAAGGGCCACATCCTGCCCTGTGATGAGGTTGCTTTGTGTTGCCAGAGCAACACTGTAGAGCTTGGTCCTTGGAGTATTTCTTTGCTCATGGCTTGGAGCTCCCGTCGAGACTGCCAGAAGTCATTAGTGCAGAAGACAAGGAAGGAGAGAAGGCTTTTACATTCTGCTCCATAACTAACTCCCAGTGTCCAAAACAACATAAAATAGAAATATTCTAGTGCTACCCTGTGACGTGGTGGATGTCTGGGTCATAACAGATTCTTTGTGTCACATCCTTGGTCTCCTCTGAGCAGGACTTAACCTGGTGACCAGAAGGAAATCGAGTTTAACTTTTGGAATATTAAATATTTTACACAGACTGTCTTCTGGCAGTGGCCTGAACTAGATTTTCCCCTAAGGGATATCAGAGCTCATTTATCTCTTCAAATTTAAAGCTGGTGAAAATCACTGGGCTGATGGCTGAGGAGTCTCGCATGTCCCGTTCCACTCCAGAAGTGACTGTTAGTAGCGATTCAGTTTTAAGACACCTCCTGCCAGCTCTCACATTGCAGGGCTCACTGCCCTCCTGCTGCCTTTGTCACAGCAGGCTCTGGGGGTAACTGCATACCAATAAAGTATCCCACTTCTGTCAGGCTCCATGAAGGGGCTGCTGGCAGCAGGAGCTTGACAGCCTGTTCCCTGGTCTGTGTGTATGGCTGTGGTGGGGCACATGGTTCCTGTGTCTGAAAACAGTGCTGGCTGCATGCAGGGAGCATGAGAGCAGCCTCTGATGAGCTGCTTGCAGATGCTGCCCTCTTTTGTGTGGAGCCACGTCCTCGGGAGACCACAGGCCCCTTCATGCAGAGTGGATTTCCGTGGAGACAGGAGGGAGCAGTGCACAGTGTGCCGTGAGGTCTGTGCAGACTGGTGTTAGCAAGGGGTCTCCAAGGTTTGCATTTCACATCCAACATGCACAAAGTGACGTGTGGCTGCTCCCTTCTAGGAGACAGAAGAAGACGGCTTCTCATACCGTGATGGAGCTGGAGAACACCATGGATGGCAGTCAGGCTGGGCAGCCTCTTTTGTGCCCTTCCCATCCCAGAGAGGAGCTACGGCTGTTCTGTGAGCAGTGTGACCAGCCTGTGTGCCGGGAGTGTGTCGTGGACAGGCACCAGCAGCACCGATGTGACTTCACCAGCAACGTCATCCACAGACACGGGGACGCCCTTCGGGAGCTGCTGAAGAGCACCCAGCAGCACGTGGGCACTCTAGAAGGTGTGCTGGGCCAGATTGATGCCATGGGTAGTGCCGTCCAGAGTCGCGCAGAGGCCGTGGCCACGGAGATCTCTCTGTTTGCCAGTGGGTACGTGACAGCCATTGAAGAGCACCGGGACCGGCTGCTGAAGCAGCTGGAGGACTTGCAGGTGCAGAAGGCAAACCTGCTGCACTTGCAGAAGGCCCAGCTGCAGCAGCTGCTGCTGGACATGAGGACAGGGGTGGAGTTCACGGAGCACTTGCTGACGAGCGGCTCAGACCTGGAGATCCTCATCACCAAAGGGGTGGTGGCCAGCCGGCTGACAAAGCTGAACAGCATCGCTTACAGCACCCACCCCAGCGTGGACGATGGGATCCACTTCTCTCCTCAGGAGAGGGCAGGGCAGTGTTGCGGCTATGAAGTTTTTGGGGCCATTCTCAATAAAGTGGTTGATCCAGCCAGGTGTACCCTGCATGGGGAAGGTAATGGGGTGCTGTACAACAGTAGAGTGGGGACACGCCGCCCCCCAACATCACCTCTTCATTCTCTGTGCCCATGTGGTGTGCAGCTCAAGGCACTGCTGGCTCCCTGCTGACCTGGCACTGACAAGAGGCACAGGGGTACAGTGGGGTGGATCCCTGCCAGAGCCTGTGTCGCTTGCTGAGTACTTCTGGCAGTTGTGCTGGGCAGGGAGGTGGGGACCTCTCCCCAGCCAGCTGTCACGGTGTCCTGGAGCTGCCCTCGGCAGCATCACTGACCTGAGCACGAGGGGAGGTGTGAGGAGAGCAACCTCTGTAGGCCAGAACACCACAGCTTACTTGGGGGGATGGCTCCTGCAGTGGCGTGATACCATCTGTGCCCACTGGCCCCAGCTTTTCTACAGCATGGCTGAGATGGATCCCCTCTCTGGCTGAGCAGATTCCCCTTGGAGCTTCTGCTGAGACTGCCATGGGAATAACTGGTGTTGATGGTTTCATGGGTGTTTGCTTATTAAGGACTTGGAGGAGGGCCAGCAAACAGATAGCATTCAGACCAGCCCACTGAGCACAACCAGCTCTGGTCAGTAGTGACCTGCACAGGGTTGTTCGATCCTTTCTGTCCCAAACTCTAAGTGCTGACATATCTGGGGCTCCACGCTGCACAGTGTGGCTGTTCCTTCTCCCTCTTGGTTGCATGGTGCACCTTGGGGCCTTCTGAGGAGATGCCAGCTGGGCAAAGTGGGGCAGGCAGGAAGACCACCCTGGTCCATACAGGTCTCTGGACTGAGCGTGCCCAACACCTCCCAGCACCTATGGCTGTCTACCCTCTCTTGGCCCCCAGTGATACCTTCTCCCTGTGGAAGGAGCTGTACACCCACTCTGGCAGCAGTCCTGTGTATGCTCTGATGGGACTGCAACACTGCAAAGTCGATGGGAGGTGGCAGTCATGGCTGGTGTGAATCCCTTTTGGTCCTGTTTCTCTGCCTTGCAGATCTCCATAGTGCCCGTCAGAACCAGCTGACTGGCTTTACCCTGCTCTGCAATGACACCACGGGGGAGCAGATGAGGAGAGGAGGCGAGGCCGTGTGGGTCACCATCACCCATAAGGACAAGAGGGACTGGTGGGTATTTCACCTGAGAACTTCCCAGTCACTGGCTTTGCCTTTCTGCCCCCCTTACCCTGGCTCCCTCCTTGTTTGGGTGGGTAGGAGGATGTGCTTCATCAGGTGGGTCAGAATCTCTAGGGGAAAAGGCACTACTGTTTTTCCTTCTGGTATAGCAGTGCTTCCTACTGGTTGTATTTGGCTGTGTGGAGTGTGGCCATGTTGGCTTGGATTTTTATTCAATCTGAATGATTTGGGACTTTTTAAAGGATTCAACTCTCAGTGGGTGTTATACATTGTCAGAGTGAGCTGTTGCTCCTTCCCACCCCTACCAGCAGACAGCTAAGGCTCCTCTTTTGTTAACACCTGATGAGGGTAAAATATTGCAACCCCAGTATGACTGTCTAGAGTCAAACAGACAGCCCACCATGCCCAGGAACCTCTGACAGTGCCTAGTTCATGTTCTGGGGAAAAAAAGTCTGTGTCAGGCCTTCATCATGCTTTATCTTGTAGTTGCAGTGTTGAGTGCTTTGACATGATTGGAGCTTCTCTAGCAAAAGGAGGAAAGACCACACTTGAGCTCCAAAGTGTTTCCACGATGAAAATGACAAAAAAAAATTATTTTCTGTCTCCAGGCCACACTTGTTACTATGAAGCAGCCAGACAAAAATGCAGAACTCATTCATTAAGAAGAGCAGTTCTTAAGAAAAACATCTGCTCTGTTTAATAGTATGTACAGTATAGCTGGAGCAAGATGCCAGCATAACTCATTCCTTCAATGTCATTGGTGGGATGACCTGATGACAAAAGGGACAGGATGCTAAAACTCCTTGATATGGGGGAGCATCGTCAAGGCATACAGAAACAGCACTTGCCACACAGATGCTTGCCAAAAGACCATCTTTGTTCAAAAATGTTGTTCCAATGTACCTTGCTTCCTTAGGTGGACGTGTGACACAGGATTATGTGGGTTTTGCTTGGTGGGGTAGAGGTCGCTGTGGCCACAGTAACTCAATTTCTCGATCTTGCACGTATGCAGTTGCGACATCCGTTGCTGAAAGCAGCCTGGCTTTGGCTGGAGCACAGCAGCTACAGAAGAGCACCAAGTATCACCACACAGTTCACAGCAGGAAATGATGGAGGCAGCTGTGTTGATGTGCAGTGCTGGGGTCTGGGGAGTACAGCCTGCAAACCTGGAAGATTATAAACTGTCATGTCGTGGGGCACAAGGAGCTAATTAGTGGCGATTAGGAAGAACACTTTCCCCTATGCAGAGCTACCTGGTAATCATCTGTGGAAAGCTCTCCCCATCTTTCTGTGAAGCAGGCAATCAGTCACTAAGGAATTAGCTGATGCTTTCTCCCTGGCACTCTGTCCACCAGGGTTCCTTGTGAAACCCAGTGAGCTTCATTTGGAAAAAGAGGGTTCCTCAGCAGAGACCTTGAACTCCTCAGAGCACTGAAGAGAAGAGGTGGGGTCAGTGCATTTGGGACAGTGGTTGAAGTGTTTCAGACCTGCCCAATTTATGTCCTGACTTATTCATAGGCTCTTCTGGAGGTAACTGCTTTCTGAAGCTGTGAGTTGACTCTTTCTGAAGGCTCTTACTTGTTGGGATAATCTGACCTGCAAGTGTGCTGTCTTTGGCATATTCTGCTCTCTCAGAGCTCAGGGTTGCTACAAATCCTTGCCGTGCAGCTAGCTTTGTGTGACTTCCTTTGTATGGTTATCACAGCTCCCAGTACCAGGGGTGTGTGTGAAAGCTGCCTGGTGCTTGAGCATCGCTCCTGCATCCTGTTAAGCTCACTTGAGACCCACAGCTGCTGAGCAAGGCTGAGGGTGAGGAGCTGACCACAAACCTAGGCCAAACAGTGGTTCACATGCAAAGCAATTTTCAGCCAGTCACTGACCTCTTGGATTTCCCTCTGTTTGTAGTTCAGTCAAGCCAACAGTGTGTGATAATGGTGATGGGACCTACCATATTTCCTACAGCCCTGAGGAGCCAGGCTTATACACTGTCTGCATCTATGTGAAAGGGCAGCATGTACAGGTACCATTTCTTGTTCTTGCACTGCTTCTTCTTTGCCTGCTTTTCTAAGGGTTTGCTGTAAATCTTTCTAAGGATTACCTCCACCACTTAGCAGTTTAAGACTAGGCTTAGTGATCTGTGACTGACAGGATCACCCAGTTGGTTTTTGAAAATGCAGACACATCTGATGCAGCAGCCTCTCTGCTTGCCTGTCCTCTGCAGAGCTCTCCATTCACTCTGACGGTGAAGAACAAGTTCCGTGAGCACCATGGTGTGTTTCACTGCTGCACGTTCTGCTCAAGCGGAGGGCAGAAAGCTGCTCGCTGTGCCTGTGGTGGGACCATGCCAGGTGAGTGCTCAGCTTTCCCTGTGCTGCTGACATCAGGAAGGTTTGTTGCATTTGGTCCTTCCCAGTGTAGATAGGTGTAAGTAGATACTCCAGCCCAACTCCTGCCTTGCACATGCAGCAGGAGTGTAATAACCTGTGTGTGCATATGTTCTGGTAGGATGTGACTGCAGCAGTGAGAAATGCTGCAGGACACACTGAGGGTCTTTGGAGCACACCCTGTAGACCGAGACCCGAGCCAGCCGTGCAGGAGACAGGCCAGGGCACGTCTGTCTTTCAGCCCTGCTCACGAGGCTAAGCAGCACTGCGCCTGTACTGTGCTTCTTCCAGTGCTGGCAGGTTGGCAGCTTGCAGGCTGTGTCACATAGTGCCCAGTTCTGTACTCTGGAGAAGCCTCACTCCTCGTTTGGATGGCAGTTCAGCTCTCTTGTTTAATCCCAACCAGCTTCACCATCCTTAACCTGCATGTGTTGTTGTGTATTTTGCATGTTTTTGGTTTAGAACTTCAGTGCTCGATGTGTATCTAGCTCTGGACGTAGCCACTAGCAGCTGGCATGGGGTTCTGCAGACCTGTGTCTTGCATTACTCAACAGGCAAGGGGACAGAAGTCTTTAGCTTTCCCCAGGTATTAGAATTGGGAGGTATCTCTTAATTTTCCTTTCTTTATGGAGCTCTGGCAATTTTGGCCATGAGTGTGCTTGTACTTTCATCAGCATGTGCCTCCCCATCGTAGGTGAGTCCTGGGGCTGAAGCACTCTCTGAAAGCCTCTGACACACTGGGATTTTCTGGCCCACTTTTGGTTAAGCTGTGATGGTGCCTCTTCTCTTGCAGGTGGGTACCAAGGCTGCGGCCATGGACACAAAGGTCACCCTGGCTGCCCCCACTGGTCATGCTGTGGACAGGTGAAGGAGAGCTCAGAGTGTTTGGGTGGGCCACCCAGCAACACCTCGCAGAGGAGCTTGCTGAGGACGGTGGCATTCTGAGGAGCCAGGTGAGCTCCTGCGGGCCCAGGGCACTGCTGTGGGCTGCTGCATGAGCACCAACCACCAGGGTCCCCATGATGGCTGCATAGCCTCGCTGCCAGGAAACAACATCGTGACAGGGGGAAAATAAAATTGTGCCTTATATTCTGCTTGAGGGCATGTGTGCAAAATTTTGTGCCTGTACAGGAACAAACTCTGGATGTTGTGCTGGTGCCTGCGTGTTCAAGGACTCGAGACCTGTGGGGTCAGGCTCTGAGGGGAAACTCCATCTGAGCAGTTACCTCCAGGAGGGTCAAAATGTGTCTCATTCTGCAGGATCGATCATCTCTGATGCCCTTCTTAAAGAGGCCAATGCTGCCCGTTGGGGCACATTCCAAAGGGTTTGTGTTCGTGCTTTGGAAAGGCTTGGCAGCCTGACTGTGGTGTCAGCCTCTGCATCAGATGTGCTGATGCGTTCTGTCCTTGGACCTGCATGTATAGCATAGTCACACTCCTTAGAGCTGCAGTTGTATTTTTTCTCCAAGTGAGCCGTGGTCTCATTACACCCTCCCTGCAAAGTAAGAGCAAGATGGGTTCATAATATATCTGAAGGAATCCAGGGAAAACCCTGGTCAGTAATGGGAAGAGGAATTAGAACGTAATTCACGCAGTCTGTATGTTCTCCATGGACATGGTGTGGGACATGGATCTTCTGGGGGTGATATGGGAGCCAGGAGAGCACGCAGCTCACCAAGGGAATGTGTAGGGACTGTCTGAGCATTGTTAGGAGCCATAAGTGCAGGTTTGCAAGTGTCCTGAACTGGTGCAACTAGGCAAGGAGAAGAAGGAAACTGAATACAGCAAAATTCCTGGATTTGGCTTGTGCAGTCTTGCCAAGGTTCTGTTTTTAGGAGAGCTTGTCCCATTTTCCACAGGGGCAGGGCGATGTGTCTTCTGGGCTTGTGTGCGTGCTGCTGACCTGTAGTTGGGGAAATGACATCTGTGATGAGGAGAAAGAGGCACTTCCCTGCAAGGGTAATTGCTAACCTGCCTGCTGATTGCTGCCTGCCACTTGCCCGGGAGAAGCAGACGCCCTGGGTGCCTTCCTTTGCAAAACAGGTTTGTGTCATTGCGACTGGGAATGCTACTGCCCTGAGGGTAACCTTGCATGTTGCTAGGGCCTCCTAATACTGCCTGAGGAGCTGGGAACTAAAGTCTGACTTTGTTCGTCACCTGGGGAGAGGAATGTTGCTCCATTGTCAACAGTAAGGACTGGTTCTTGCTTTCTGTCTGCTGATAGCTGGCTTGTAAATAGTAGAAACCTGTGCTGTCTGTTTGCTTGCTCAGTCCTAGAAGACTCTCATTTGTTGTGCATACCTCTTACAAAGCCAGTTCTGGAACTCTTTTTCCCAGCAAAGGAGATGGATATCCTTATGCAAATGCTGTTTATAGGTTTCCATTAATCATCCAGAAAGGGCTGTCAAAACAGTTGGGAGGTTAGGCAGTTTAAATCTCCAAGTTAGGCAATTTAAGTCACCAAGTTGCTGACTCCGAAATTTCAAAGTGAAAGTTTAACTTTTAATGGAACAAACAGTAACTCATTCTTGTCAGTGCTCAGTACAGAATGTGATGTAAAATGAAGTGCCTCATTTTCTCCGTCTTTCTATTTATTGCACCCCACCTCCCACATGGGCATTGTTTTTTTCTTGCAGGTTCCATGCTCTATTGCAGAGGGAACACATAAGGACAGAACTACCTGCTAGGTACATAAATTCTGTCTAGAAACATCCTAGTCCTGTCAGACAGAGGAATGTGTTTTCTCTTTGTGTTAGGCATCCCTTACACACCCTGTCGCTGACATCTTCTAAGAAGCTGTTTGTGAGAATTACACCAGCAAATGTCTAAACCTTTCAGGGAACTCCTGTCAGCTTGAACTGGGCTCTATGTTTGACTTGAGGAGTCTTGAGAGCATTTTTTTGGACAGCATGGGGTGCTAATCTGGCCAGGGTCAGGCCCTTGTATTGATTTATTTCTTTTTCTTAAACTTGAAAGCTCAGTCAGTCACAGGGATTATGAAGCGTTGCCTGGCTACCACTCTGTGTGTGAGCAGAGAGGGCTGTGCATGAGGAGAGCTTGAAGAACCACGTACAGGAAAGACAGGTAGTGACCTTAGTCACCTTGTGGGGTTAGGTGTGAGTGTCCTCCCATTCTCTGCAAGCAGACTTTGCTCTCAGTGTCTATTACTCAGAATGCTTTGCCGGATAAACATATCCTACTGATCTGCTGGAGTCTCACATTGGACCCCAACAGCCATGCCCAGGAATGCTCTGCTGCTCTGTTGGTAAACAGCCTTGGGCAGGTGGTTGATTAGGAGATGTGGTTGGTCTGCTGGGCTACACGATGTTATTTCTGACTAGCTGGTCCCTGAGATAACCAAGGTATTTTCAACACAGACACACAGGCAGTGTTAACAGAACTGCACCAGTAAATATCAATATTTTTCCCAGGACGAAAGCTCTTGCTGATAAAATTGCCTGTCTCCAGAGTTTGGGAAAAAAAAAGGTGGAGGGGAGGAGAGATACAAACATTAGGAAGGGCTTTGGGAGGCAAGGGAAGGAAAACTTCCTGGATATGGAACAGAGTGTAGCTGGGAGTCTTGCACCTGCAGCCTGGAAGACTACATGTAGAGTCTTTCTGGAGTCAGGTATCATGCTGGGGTACCTCTCCCTTCTCAGAGGAGCAAACCACGCTGGTGGCATGGCTGTGCTGTAGCTCTGTGCATGCGTCTGGTTTGTCCCCAGAAGATCATGGGAGCAGTGCAGCAGCTGGCTCAGCAGGGCTTCTTCATCTTGCCATGCTGGGAGGTGATTCACAAGGGTACACTGACCATCTAGAGTGACATGTTAAGACAGTTCCTGGCAGTGCCTCTTAGGCAGTGTAGGAGACTGTTTCCAGCCAAAGGTGGCTCACCACCTCCCTGTTTTCAGAGACGAGGGCTTTTTCTGAGTGCTGCTGCTTCCAGCTTCCCTTCAAGGGCAGGCAAGGCTGAGGGTAGGTAGAGCTAATAAGACACTGCCAAGCTCTCCTCCTTCCAGAATACTAGTGCTGCCAATATCAGTGTTTCTCAAAACCTCTTGACATCATTGTTTACAGGTGCAAGATCAAAAGTCTGGAAAGATGTCCAACACTTTTGGCCAAATCCCAAGGATAGCTTTCATCTTTTTCAGCCTGCTGGCTGCCATCACTTCTCTTGAGTACTCTGTCAGCTTGCAACAACTCCTGGTTCTCTTTCACTGATAACTCCTCCAGAGTTCCAGTGACCTGGAAATTAGGGGTGAACTTTCCATAAGGGAACACTTCTGCCAGAATTATTATTTGTGAAGAAAGAGACAAGTTGTATTACGAAAGGTAGCATGACTGCAGTCTGATTCTTGTGCCCATGCCTCCCCTAGACACTGAAAATCTTCTTGGGCCCTGACCCACCTCCGGTCCTTTGTGTCCCCACTGTCCCCGCATGCAGGCAGGAGGCAGCACGTGCTGTGGTCAGCTGTAGGGCACTGGCCAATGGGCCCAGCAAAACTGGTCACACTTTGTGCCTGCTGCCACCTTCCCCTCAGTGAATACAACTGATGTGTCTCTTCCCCAGGTGCTCACCAGCGTTCACAGACCATGTGGGACTGGATCCTGCTGTTGCCTTTCATTGGAATTTGCTAATAGATTCAAAACTGGTAAGAGCTGGCTGGGCAGACCCTGTGGTCACACATCCTTGATTTCTGTGGGAAATATCCTGAATACCTCATGGGGTTTTTCAGTATAAAACTATGGAGAGAAGTAGGCTTGATGGTGAGAGCTGCTCAGAAATTAACCTGGTGTTGCCCTGGTGAGTGGGCTTTGCCCTGGTCCTACAGGGACTGCCTGTCCCTGAGGAACAGACCTGTTTTTCCAGTGTGGGAGTAGCCCGGTCATTGGCTGTGGTGAGGTGTGCTGTGGCTGGGACCCAGACTTAACTGGTGCTGAAAGGGGACACCTCGTTTGTGTACTGCACCAAAGACAGCAGTAAATCAACTATCAACAAAACAACAGGATATTTCTTCATGTGCATTTCCCACCAGGCCACTATAGCCTAGAGCTATTCTTAGCTTCAACTCATCTTTTGCTAAATTACAAGAGGTTTAGTAATCAGTAGAATACTACAAAATAGATGAGAATTCTTCTTTTCAAATTAAAAAGGGCTATTCAGTGCTAAAGCAGAGGGGAAGTGAAATCCATGTAAAGTTTGCTTTGTATGTGTAAACCATTGCAACAAATAAAGAGTGACTGATTCTCAGGTGAAAGGGTTCCAGTCCTCTGTTTCATTCGAGGGTGAAGGGTGTGCTTTCAGCAACCTCCAAGATCTGGACATTAGCAGTAGGTCTTTTTCACACCTCCTTCATAGACCTTGCACAGGGCATTCAGGTAGCTCCTCTACCTGGAGAGCAATTAGCTTCACAGTTGAGCACTCACACCTTAGTAGCACATGAACAGTTGGGTAAACCCAAAGCCTAGTCACTCCTGAAAGCAGAAGGTCCCCACCTTGGCTCCTCTGTCCTTGCAGACCGTGCTGTCCTGCCCCACCAGAAACATCACTGGGTGTGACTCCCCTTGGAACACATGGGGAGCCACTTCAACTCCCTGAACCAACAGGAAACCATTTGATTTCTAATTTTACTTTGTTTCCTAACTGGTGACTAGATTTAGTGGAAGTTCAGACCTGAAATTAATCAGTGCAAGGTGGTGGAACGTGGGAGGAAGTTCAGGAGAAGGAGGGACATGTAACTTCATCCTGGCATAAGGAGGCTGGAAGTGGTGAATCCCCGTCTTGGAAAACAGTTTTCTGACTTTGGTGCCTGTACAACAGCCACAGCCCCTTCCAGCCCCCTCTCTGCTGTCTAGAAAAGTCTGTCATGTGTTGTGCACCACATCTGGCTATGTTCATCCCTTGTAGAGGTGAACAGGCTCTTTTGGAGTTGAACTGTAGTCCAAAAGACTAAGTGCCCACTTCTGAAATCTCACACATGCACAGTTAGAAAGCTGCTGTGCCCCTCAGCACATCGTA